ATGGCAGGGTAAATGACCAAGGGAGAGGGGGGAAATCCACGGGGAGAAGGCATAATATACAAATATTTTGAAGTGAAACACATATGCGCGCACACGGTCGTTCTGTTATATTAAATGCTATTACAATTGCGTGTTTGTGTACGTGTATTTGTGTATGCGCGCGCAATGACGGCAAACAAAATGATGAACTCGCGCGACGCTGCAACAGTTTTATTTCCCTCGACCTTTCCGCCGTCAGAGTATCGGGCGGATATTTATAACTCCCGAATCGTTCCAACAGCAACAAGATCGATCGAGTGCTATTCCTATTACAACCCGCTCTGGCACAGCTCACTCTCTTTTTCTCTCTCCGAATGTTTACCCGGGGCAAACGATTGATTGGTTATCGACGCTAGTTATTTTCAGTCGACACGAGACGAGATACACGCACTTTTATTCGACCGATACCACCACCAGCGCTATAACCGCCACCGCCATCACGACACGACGGCGCACTATTATTTATTCGTATAATATGCGCGCGAGAGAGAGAGAGAGAGAGAGAGAGAGAGAGAAAGAGAGCGAGGAAGAGAGGGAGAGATAGATGGCACATCGCCGTGTTGTAAAATACAGTCGGAATTACCAATTCCATACGGATAACTTATTAATTCCGAATAAAATGGAATTAACTCGGAAAATCGGAATTTAAATAACGATCAGACTCATCAGCCCTCCCCCTTGTCCCTCCGCTGCGCCGGAAACAGTGTGGGATTAAACAAAGAACAAGACTTCATCCTATTTTTACTACTGACTGCGCTAGGCAACTGCGGATTATTTTATTAGTCTGCCATTTGAATCTCCCCCTTTTCTCTCTCTCTCTCTCTCTCTCTCTTGCTCTTTCCGTTACAAAAACGTCTCGTCCCGAATTCGACGTGGGATCCATTATGCATCTCCCGCGATATTGGGTTTTTCGCTTTGCCCCTTGTCCCATCTGCGACGTTTGTCACGCGAATTTACATAAGTCGAGATCGATCTACTCGTTTTCGGCGGACATATGAAGATTAAAACCGCTTCGCGGACGAAAAATGTTCGCGGTGTCAAAAATTCCGGCTGGATATCATCCGCGCTAGTGATGAGAAAAAGAAAAGACACACACATACACACACACACGCGCGCACAGAGAGAGAGAGAGAGAGAGAGAGAGAGAGGGAGAGGAGAAACATCGCAAACAGAGAAATGTAATTAATTGCGATTAATATCGCGAGCGGAACGTTGCGGCACAGCGACGCGTAAAACGAAAAAGTTAACGATTCGTATTAAAACATCAGCCGAGGTAATAACGTTTCCGTTTCACGCCGTCGGGTAAATAACGTTCCGCGTTCGCTTCAAAGCGAATTTTCGGAGAACCGCGAAATGGCGCTCGTGCGATTTCTCCTTTTTTCCTTCTTTCTCCCTGGAAACCCGCAGCCGATTATCGTTCGTTCCGAAACGGAGAGAAGAACTGTGATTAATCCTACCGAAATTGCGTTCATTTCTCCGGCCAACCGCGTCTCTTCTTTCGCATTCACGGAAAAATCGTAGAGCGCAATATACGCGTACAAGATTACTATCGCCGAAAGCACGGCAACTTTTTCTCGCGGAAATACAGCCCTCCCGGCCATAATTGCCTGAACATGGAGGAAAATTTCGCGGTTCATCGTGTACCTAACGAAATACTCGGCAACGTAGAAGCGATATCTCTGTTAGCGCGAGCGAGAACATTCTGAGCGTCTGAACGTTCTTGGCTGTAATGAAACTCAGTCGAGATAACTGCCAGCAATTGGCCGAGCGGAAACCTCCTGCAGGAATCTGCCCGATCTCACAACAGGCTGCAGGTTTTCCCGGTTCGGTCCCCGGGCAACGGGCGGGGATTCCGTTGCACTAACCGAGCTCTGTTCCTTTCCGTGTGCAATTATGTACACGGCTGGAAAAATGTCAGCTGATGCGAGAGAATGGGGAGCAGACTAGAGCTGTTACTCTTCGACGTCAGCTTCGAAACTTCGAAGTTTTTTATGCCGAAGTTTCGAAGACTAGTCTACGAAGATTCGATATATTCGAAGCTTCGAAGGATGCGGGGCGGTTGTTTCCGAACCTGCGCGCTCTTTGTTTCTGCATGCATGCACTGCGTGCTGGACCATCTCACAAGGATAGATAGGGAACCCGGAAATTCAAAAAATTATGAAACTGTGTAGAAATAAAGTAGTCAATCCGTAATGCAGAACTATTTTTTGTTCGTGCGGAATTCCAGTCCGAATTGCAAAATTGGAGGGCGGAGGGGGTTTTCAAAAATTTTTCAATTTTGTAAAATCTGAACACACAGTTGCAAAGAGTATGAAATACACTACAACTTTCATATAAGCCATTTTTGCATATGCCTCGTATTTTGAAAGATATACTAAAAATGAAAATGGTTTTATAATATTTTTTCGAAGGGTGGGGTTTCACTCCCCTCAGACTGGAATTCCGCACGAACAAAAAATAGTTTTGCATTACGGATGAACCACTTTACTTCCACACAAGGTTTCATAATTTTTTGAATTTCTGAGTTCCCTATGTTTTCTTGTCAGTCATATATTTTACATTCCGCTCGTCCACCTCGTGGTTCGATTCCCGAACACCTTCGAATTCTTGAAATTTCCAAGTTCGAAGACTGCAACTTCGAAGGTTCGATGCTTCGAAGCTTCGAAGCCGAAGACTTCGAGAGAAGTTGTACCTCTAGAGCAGACGGGAGGATCTCTGTCGCCGCGACCGAAAACGTCCGTCTGAGCGTTCGGTTGTATTAAAAGTCAGTTGACGCAATTAGGGCAATTGATCAAGCGAAAACCTCCTACACACGAATCCTTTCGTTTCTACTAGGGCTCTTACTTTTCAACACCTTCGAATATTCGAAGCTTCGAAAGATTCGAAAATACGAAGGAACCTTCGAATATTCGAAGTTTCGAAGGATTCGAAGAAATGAAGGAACTTTCGAACATTCGAAACTTCGAAGTCACCAAAGGAATGATGAAAACTTCGAAGGATTCGAAGAAATGAAGGAACACAATCGGCTAAAATAGCTCATCCGATTTTCTACAATATTAGATATAATTTTATAAATAAATATGTATGACAGATAATAATTTTATAATGTGTAATAAAAGAAAATAATAAAAAAAATTCATAAGTAACTAAACGCAGTTCGCCAAAAGAAAACCGTAAAGATGCAAGACACTTTGGGCGAACTATCATCAGATTCAATGTCTTAATAAATATTCTTATTATTTATAGGATTATAATATAGCAAACTGTATATGTTATAGATGATTCTTACACATTTTTTGTCATAAAATTGAATTATAAGTTCACTTTTACTTTAAATTTACGCTTCATAATGAAAAAAATGATAAAATAGCGACTTTTTGCACAAAATTGTTAATAACAAAAAAGAACTCACCGTTTTTCGACTTCGTGACCAAGAAATTTCGTTTTAGCGCATCAAAAAACGTAAGAAAACATGAAGATATCGAACCTAAAACTTTATACTCAGATGTCACCAGCGCCCGGACTAAATTTTTTTTGGAGGAGCTTCGGTATTCGAAGCTTCGAGTATCTTCGATTCTTTCAAACTTTAAATATTTTTGTACGAAGCTTCGGTAGTCGAAGCTTCGAATCACTCAATCGTCGAATATGAATAACAGCCGTAGTTTCTACAAGCGAGCCGACGCTTAGTCGCGCCCAGTCAACGGGACACTCGGTGACAATGGCCGCGCGTTCAGCAGAAAAAGCTGTTTACTAAGCGCTTAGTGATTATTATCTATGATTGGAGTAGTCTTTTAGATCTTTAACAAATCCAGGGGAATGAACCAATCAGAAATGATAATTACTAAGCGCTTAGTAAGCAGCTTTTTCTGCTGAACGCGGCCATTGACGGACGGTCGCGCGTCTTTCATGTGCAATTACAGTTGCAAAGCGCGAGAAACTGTTTCTCCAGCGCGGGGGGGGGGGGGGATCGCAGGGGAAATCGCAACCCGGCTTTTCCACGGCATCTCGTTGAAGCGCGCGCGAGCGAGCCGCCTTTTCGCGTAGCAACTCCGACGACGCTCGATGTATTGCTTAATACCCCGGGAAAACAAGTGGGCGGCGGAGATCCCGCCGAACGACGGAAGATGCTCCTGCGGCTGCCCCCCCCCCCACGACACTGATTACCATAATAATAACGCGACTCGGCGAGCGAGCGAGCGTCCATTAGCGTTATTACTGTTATTCGGCGGGATCGCGGATCGCGGGAATTCGATAAATCAATAAGTACTATGTATATGACCTTTATGACCGAACAGCTCGAGGCGACAGCGCGGTAAACTTTACGAGGGCAAATTTGACAAGCGAGTAACCATGGAATATGCGACCGCAAGGAAAAGAGACGGAGAGAGAAGGAGAGAGAAGCCGTTAGCGGTCTTTAAGCGCGATTATTCTTGTTTCATCGGCATCCGTTCACGCTGCCGGTTCGAGTCCCCGAGCCGCGTTCTCAACGAGCCGTTAAAAGTGGTGGACGGCTCGTTAATTCAGCATTCATTAAAAAAGGAGCTTGAGGGAAACGATAGCGCGCGCGCGCACGCTCGCGCGATTGTCCGCGCTATTCTGTCAGATGTGTCGCCGAAGTGCGGAGAGACTCGATAATTGGCTTTATCGATCACGTCTCGATAAAGATGGACACGCATCTCTCTCGGCGGAAGTGGGAGAGGGCGCGGAATTACCGCGATTAAGGAGAATGTCGTTAGATACACGTATCCCGTTTAATTTCTTCGCTGACTCAGCTCGAGCTCTCCCTTTTGCTCGTAGGATCGATTTCTCTCCGTCCGTAATCCCTCTTCAAGCCTCCTAAACCAAGAGGCGGCTAAGGAGTTAACGAGGAGGAGGAGGGAGAGGAGGAGGAAGAGTGAAGAGGCAGGACACGCGGACTCCGCGAAGGCAAATGGGCGAATTAAGCCGTAATAGGTCCTCACCTCCTTCAGTCTCGTGCCAAACGATGCCCTCGAGGGTGACGGAGGTGCCGGGCTCGCAGGGCCCCAAACACTCCGGCTCTGTAATGGTCCCCACACTGGTCCCAACGCACACGTCGGACATGTCCTGCAACAGAGAAGATTCGTCCAACGGTGAGTGATATCTCACATGTTTTGGTACAATCGAAGTTTCGATGCAACACACGTCTTTCCGATTCTGACGCCGAGAAATAACATGCGATTTAGACACTTTAGGGATCTTTGTTGCGTTAAAGGGGCGATTTTTCGCTGAGGCAACTCCGCTCTCTCTCTCTCTCTCTCTCTCTCTCTCTCTCTCTCTCTGTCTGTGCGTCGACTCGATGAGAACGTAACAAAAGTCACAAAAATCGACTAAATAATGTCTTCGTAATCCCAAGTCCTGATTCGTTAACATTTCAGTTCACACTGGTGATCACGTCACGTTAATTTGCTCGAAGCAGAAAAGCAATTTTCTGCTGAAATATCAACGCTTTAGAAATCCCGGTCAAAGTTATCAGTATTCGATCTGAAATAATCAAGATTCCCGATTAACTTGGATGGAATTTTGATATTTTCAATCGGAACGTTCCGAAGAGAAGTTCACGTTTCACCGGGAAATTGGCTCATTCGGCCAAACATGCCCCCCTCCCTCCGTGTCCGGCGATATTACTCGGCTATTATTAAAGTTTCCGCAACGCCCCGTTGGGAAATCTCTAACGGCAAGAAATATAACGCGAACACACGAGCAGGCTCGTTAGATCCCCGAACCGCGTTAATAGATCAATTTCTCCGTCGCTGCCGAGGCGATCACTCTCGTCCGTCGTCGTCGATGTTTAGCGGACGCTACCACTGTGAGCGTCAACTAGCGCAATTACAGCAGCCGATGTATACCGTTCGTAATTAGACTGAGATAGTCCCGTATGTCCAGGGACTTGTCCCTCCAGCGGCCAAATGCTCTCGGCACGCCTACGAATGTCTCGACGACATTCTAACGACGACACGGACTCGCGAGTCCACACGAGAACGGATCGCACGCGACAGCAGGACCACCGTCGGACGTTGCGCGGCCGCTGAGAGTTCCTTCGCGTCGCGAATTCACCAAGTTATTCCAGCACGAGTAATTCACCCCCCCGCCGCCAGTACGGCGGCTCTCAAAACGCCGGAGCAAAGCGGCCGAAACAATCGGGAGCGCTCGATTGCAAAGAGCAATTCTCTCTTTCTTTCTTTTTTTCCCTCCCTGTCTCCGAGGTAATCAATACCATGTACCAGGTGTGCGTTTAATATCTATCCTCTCATGTTTACACGACGCGAGGTGAACTTCGGGCGCGCTGCCACGGCGTTCGACACGTCGCCGTGACTCGCGGCAAACCTGATCGCTTCCGGTTTTCCGATGATTAAATCCGTGTACTTTCGCACGGTCCGTCGTCCTGTATGTCCGCGACGTTATTTTCGGCGGCGCACCGCGATTCGACACCGCTCGCGACACACACAGCGACGAGCCATTTCACCGGGCGATCAACAAGGTGTTAACGAGGCATCGGCCGGAATTTCCGGCTTGCCGAAAATACCCGCGGCCGTCGGCCGTCGCGAAATATCGCTGCGGTCCTGTCGGGCGACGGGATGGTACCGCATTCATTTCGGAAATCGATATAATCCGCTTACTAGACACACACACACACACATAGGCCGTGGCGACGGCGGGCGAATCTCCGTGGAAAATGCACTCGGCGAAATGGCTCGAGGCGCGACGAAACGCAGCCGAGGATATAAAAGCAATTAGAGGAGACCCAATTAACGTGGTCGCGAGAGCGCGCGCGTGCATCATCGAGAGCTCGCTCGCTGTTTATGGAAATATCGGCCGGCATATCTCGCCGGATGGAAACGCGGTTCCGGCGGTTTACACCGGCTCGCAAATAGAAACGCGAGTCCCCGACACACACACACACACAGAGAGAGAGAAAGAGAGAGAGAGAGAGAGAGAGAGAGAGAGAGAAACACAGAGACAGGGAGAGCGTTAAAGATTGATTTTCGCGTACCGTGCGCGTCTACCGTGTCGTGTCATTGGAAATTGCGAACGTGTCGCGCTCGTGCGCGGGCTACCTGCATATCGATTGTGATTCATGCCCGCGAGCTGCGCGAAGCGTGCGTGTTTCCCGCGTCTTCGTCGGCGCCGTGCGTTCCCTCCTGTTTCCTATTTTCTTTCCTTTTTCTCCCACCGCAAATTGCTCCTCGATCGTCAACGGATTTCCGTCGCGAGTGCTTTTCATTTTCACCCAATGCGATTTTCTCCATCCCTCCGTCTCCGTCTCTCTCTCTCTCTCTCTCTCTCTCTCTCTCTCTCTCTGTCTCTCTCGCTTCGCCCCTTCGCTCTTTCGGAGAGTGAACTTTTGAAAATTACTCACGTTCTATCATCGTGGATTTCGGTGTACTTTACGTGATCTCGGATAAGTGGTCTTGAATGGATTTTCGTCGACAAACACAAAGCTTAATGCCGCGAAATTTTAATAAAAAGATAATAAAATAGCCTAAAAGAATCGAGAAGATGTTTACACGATAAATATAATATTTCGTCGAGCCGCGGAATACGCCGCCGAAGGCCTACACGTACGGGAATACCGGACGTTGTTCCGCGTTATCGTTATCGACATCGTTGTCGTTGCTTTTATCATCGTTACGATTGTGCGATCATGTACATTTTCAGTATGTGCGACGCACGCGCGCGTACTTAAGTATATAATATGTGCAGAACTAGCCGTAAACCGGCTCGCCGCACCGAGTTTAAAAGCAATTAGCGAGATGTCCGCTAAATGAATGCTCTCGCCGGTTGCCAGTAATTTTCGCGGCCCAATGCAAACAAATTTCCATTTCGGAAAACAAAATCGCGCCGAGCGCGAGCGCGAGGGGACGTGTACGCTAGCGGGGGGGGGAAAGAAAGAGAGAGCGCGCGTGGGTCGGAGCTTTGAAAGCAATTAGCGATGCCCCGCATAAATAACGTGCTAATTAACGAATACAATTTCGACCTGCGCGTCCGGTCCGCGTAACTTTTTCCCGCGTCGAAATATCGGCGCCGCCGGATTTTTCATTTATTCACACCTGCTTCCTCCCCCCCTCCAGCCCCGTGGCTGGCCCGTCGGGTGGTTTAAATATCGCTGATGCCGCGATAAATCCGTCATTAGCACGTTAAGGTACCGTTTACGCGGCATGATTTTCGCACAGCCGCTACAGGCGAAACTCGCACACACGCTCGTTCACGACACTCCTCTTTGTCCCCCCCTTCCCCTCACTCTATCTCTCTTCTCGTCGTTCCCACGAGAGAACAGCACTCGATAAAAAAATCCAGCGCGAGCATAAAATCGAGAGTAGTCGTTATCGTCGTAATTCGATCCCAAATTGGATTAGTTCGGCTTACGGCCTGACGTTTTATTCGCGCGTGGCTTATGCGCGCGCGCGCAGAAAAAAGGAGAGAAAAACGGGAAGGGAGGATGGGAAGGGCGAATACGAAGGGAAAATTTATATTGATACCACAAGTCCCGCGTGAATCGACCTTTAGATAACTCCGCGACACATGCGCGCGCGTCATGCATTAATCCGACCGAGTTTATCGGCGTTATCGCTCCGCCGGCATTTTGCCCGGCCGGGAAATAAAATCTACTGCGGAAACGCATTTACGGACCGGCTGGCGGAATGCGCCAGGACGTATTAATGCGGATAATCGAGAGAGAGAGAGAGAGAGAGAGAGAGAGAGAGAGAGAGAGGGAGAGAGAGAGAAAAAGAGACAAAGAGAGTTGACAACAGCGAGCGAGTGAGAGACTCTGCCCGAGAATCGTCGCGTCTACTTTCTTTCCTCTCTCGAAATCTCTCCTTTCGAAATCGGAGACTCCCGGAGGGGGGAGGGGGCGAAAGCTATCGCGATTCGTTCCGTTGGGCGACGGCTCTCGGTCGCGCAGCATCGTCATTCTCGTGAATTTTCGCACGAACACCGCGCGAGATTAATCGCGCGTAGAAGACAACGTGCGCTTTGTTCTTCACACGTCTTCATCCCGCAGAGTCGAACCCTCGAGGAGGCTCTACTTTTAATTTCGGCCGGTTCAGCCTAAATCTCGAGAATCACTCGGTATCCTTTTTCCTCCCTGCCCTCCCCCTCTCCTCTCTCTCTCTCTCTCTCTCCCTCTCTCTCTCTCTCTCTCTCTCTCTCTGTCCCTATCTCGCGAAAGAAAAATGATACGAAATTGTTCGTGGAATCCATAGCTGAGGGTAAAGGACGGCAATTTCGAGGCATCTCGTGCAGAGGAGGATAAAGTCGACGGGGTTGAAGGAGGAAGAGAGAGGGAGAGAGGGGAGAGAGAGAGAGAGAGAGAAGGAGGTAAAAGCGTGCGGAGGAACGAGAGCGCGCTCGCCCCGTCGGGCCCTGGGATTACAATGGTAGTTTGAAATGCAAATCGCGGAGTTTATGCTTGGTTTCCATAATTACAGAAGCGGCGCGCTCGCGTGCGCGCGCGCGTGTTACCTCTCATAATGTACAATGCACACGGACCGACGTAATCGCGGCATTGTTCTGACGCGAAACTATTTCGTCGTGTTACGACGACGAAGACGATGAACATGACAAAGACTACGACGACGAAGACGACAGCGAGAGGGCAGCGGGGCGAGACGAGACGTGACAGTTTGCAAGAGAGAGAAAGAGAGAAAGAGAGAGAGAGAGAGAACAGGAGGAGAAGAATATTGGAGCCTCGCCAACGATGCTTGCGCAGGTTGCCGCGGTAATAAAGAAAACAAAACAAAAAAACCGATGTCGTACTCCGGCGTATATCAAAGTTTCGAGAACGGAACGCGGCGTATCCACAAGACATCGTCGTTGCTCGGACATCCGAGCGCGACGCGTCGTAAACGTCCGAGAGAGATAATCAAAGAGAGACAACGAGCATATCCGGTCAGCTCGATTCGCTCGACACGTGCGGTAATTCTTTTCAGTACTTGTTCACCCGTCATTTCACACGATCGTTTCTCGCACTTGCGCGTTTCAAAATAATCCGTTTGTTTTAGCAGTTTTTTTTTGTTTGTTTTAGCAGTTTTTATATTTTTTTTACTTATCTTTCTTTTACTTCC